GTGAAGACACTGAAATTGTATCTTTCAGCACTTTTTAGACCTGACACTGTGTATCTTTCATTATCTGCTGATAAAGTTTCATTGATCTTGTTTTCATCTGAGAAAATGATGTAACTGCTGATGCCGTCCACTTTTTTCCACTGCAGAGTTATACTGGTCTCATTTTGTTCAACTGGTTTGAAAACTTCAGTGTTCATAGGAGCTGGAATAAAAAAAAAGGTAAAAGACACTGTTAGTTAAAATTTACACACGATCTGTTTCCTAAATAATACAACAGTTTGATGTGTATGAACTTATTTTTGTGATTATGTGAGACACTTCAGACAAGTCATGGTTCATGTTGTTGGTCTATTTTATAGAAAATAATCCATTTACCAGTAACTGCAGTGATGTTATTCCCACTGCTTTTAGCATATTCAAACACAGTGAAGAGACTAAAATTGTATCTTTCAGCACTTTTTAGATTTGATGCTGTGTATCTTTCATTATCTGCTGATAAAGTTTCATTGATCGTGTTTTCATCCGAGAAAATAATGTAACTGCTGATGCCGTCCACTTTTTTCCACTGCAGTGTTATACTGGTCTCATTTTGTTCAACTGGTTTGAAAACTTCAGTGTTCAGAGGAGCTGGAATGAAAAAAAATTAAATAAAAAAGAGTAGAAGAAACTGTTAAAGAGAGTTTATGATGTGTTTCTCAAACAATACAACAGTTTGGTGTGTGAGTGAATGAGTACACTTGTTTTGTGCTTAAGTGAGATAACACAGGCACATCAGTTCATTAGGGTATTTTGTTTTACTGAAATTATTTTATTAAGTCAACAATGCTTGTGATTCTTGTGCTTTTTGAGTGACAAAACCTCATTAAATAATTAAGAAATGTTTGACAACACAATCTTATATATACACACTTGATCTCATGAATGCCTGGATGAAAACAAATTATTTTACAAAGCGTACTAATAATGAATTTTGAATGAAAACTGTTTGCATGTGTAATTTTTCATTCTACAAAGTCAAGTTTCTGTGATATTTTTTCTCAGAAAAATACTGCACAAAAAGAAAGCATCAATTAAATAAGTAAGAACTGTTTTAAAGCTTTAAAAAGGGGGAAACTTTGATAAGTGATGAGGAAGTTCAGTGGGATTTCAGATTTGTAAATTAAGAGCCCTTTTGGAAAAGGTCTGATTTGTATTTGTCACAAAAATATAACTTGTGAATTGTTAGCTGGGATATTTTTATATACTTTARGTGCCATTTTCTCTCAGTTATTCTRGTGCCAAAAACCTCAACACCAATGTACATTACATTATCCATTGCTACTGCTCTGTTGTTTGGTTTAGACTAACAGCTCCTTGTGCTTTATGAGCAGCTAGAAAGTGAARACACACAAATAACAAATTACTTCATATCCCAAAATTCATTTTGTTTAGTTTTGGACTAATTTTTTGCAGTTAGTTACCATTTGCAATGTTATCAACACAGCTTGGTACAATTTGACGTTCACCTATCTGTCACAGCAATAATATTTTCTCCAGAGCTATTGATACTTTTGAACACAGTGAAAACAGTAAAATTGTATTTTGTCCCAGCAGTCAGACTGGAGACCACAGATTCCACTGTAAAATCTCCAGGTTCTGCTTTAACATCAATCCCCTCGTTGTCTTCATACTCCAGTCTGTACGTTAGGATGTTTTCAACCGTTTCCCATTGCAGAGTTATATTAGTTTCATCCTGTGCTACAGCTTTTRCATTTTTTACATTAAGAGGAACTAAAAAAAATAATCAGAAGCTAGTGTCAGCTGAGGAAAAAAAAACTTGTGACTGCTTTGCAACAAATAGGTACAACAAAAAATAGTTTTTATAACATGGTTTTGTGGAAGCTATTTCCTGACATTATAACATTTATTTCCACACGTTATCATTAACACATCACCTACTTGTCACAGCAGTGAAACTGTATCCAGAGCTGGTGAGGTTTTTGAACACAGTGACAAGAGTAAAACTGTATTTAGTCCCAGCAGTCAGACCAGAGACCACATGTGTTACTGATRAACCTTCAACAGTGACATTGACATCTTCAGCATTGCTTTCATACAGCAGTCTGTATGTTGAGATATCATTAACCTTTTCCCACTGCAGAGTTATACTGCTTTCATTCTGTGTCATCCATTTTACTTCTTCAACATTATCCGGAGCTAAAAAGTAAAATAACTTAGGTCATCTGAGAAAAAGTTGAATCTGACAATCATGTCAAATTAAAAGCAAAAACAAAACAAAATGTATTTTTGTGTGTCTTGTATTTTTAAACATTTAGTTACTATATTAGTTAAATCAGCACATCTTTCTACACATTACCATTAAAACATCACCTACTTGTCACAGCAGTGAAACTGTATCCAGAGCTGTTGATGTTTTTGAACACGGTGAAAAGAATAAAACTGTATTCAGTCCCAGCAGTCAGATTAGAGACCACATATGTTACTGATGAACCCTCAACAGTGACATTGACACCTTCAGAATCGCCATTGATTTCATACAGCAGTCTGTATGTTGAGATATCATTAACCTTTTCCCACTGCAGAGTTACACTGCTTTCATTCTGTGTCACACATGTTATGTTTTTAACATTATCCGGAGCTAGAAAAACAAAGTAATTAAAATAATTTGAGAACAAAAGTTGTAAGTGACAGTCGCATCATTGTCAAAATCAAAAAAGCCTGTAAATTAAAATACTGTATATAAATATAATTTGTTTTGTTTTGTTTTGTACTTGTTATACAGTTTAGTTACTGTTTTCTTGTAAAATAAACAGATTTTTTTCTATAGATTAACATTAACACATCACCTACCTGTCACAGCAGAAAAAGTGTATCCAGAGCTGTTGAGGTTTTGGTTCACAGTGAAGAGAGTAAAACTGTATTCAGTCCCAGAGGTCAGACCTGAGACCTTATGTGTTACTGGTGTCTCTTCAGAATCAATATTCTCCATACTGTTATTGTTTTTATTCAGCAGAATGTATGTTGAGAATCCATCAGCTTTGTTCCACCTCAGAGTTATGCTTGTTTCATCCTGTGTCACCACTTCTACATGTCCAACATTAGGCAGAGGAGCTGCAAAACAAAGTGAAGACAGTTTCGTCAGAGAAAAAGATTTGAGAGTAAATTACAACTGATTTACACATCAGTATTATTGACAACACAACAGTTCACTAACATGGTTGTGTTGTTGTTGATTCTGCTGGTGTTGGTGTTGGTGTTGATGTTGGCGATGAACTACCATCCATCGGTGTTGTCAGCCCTGGTGGTGCTGTTTTGCAGTTTGTTACAACCTGTTTACAGAATAAAGATGTGAACAGAGAAAATGTCTTTCTTCCAAAAATTTGCTTTAAATTGTGTTCAACAGCCAGGGGGCAATCAGGCTGGACATTTTATGCTGCTGACAAAACAGATAATGCAGTTTCTGAGTATCCTGTGGCAATCATATTAGCATTTAACAAAATAAATCTATTTAAATAAATAAATATAACGTACTGTATATTTTTGCTCTCCCACTGCTCTTGGGTCAAAATGGGTTAAAGTTTAATTGCACTTAATTTTATGGTCGTGAAAATATAATCACTTAGATAAAGCTAATTGAATTATTTTGACGCACATGCGCAGGAAACCTGTGAAATCCTCAAAGTGTAAAATGCAAATTAGAGTCAGTAAATGATTTTATTATATAGGAAGTCTTAACAGCAACAAAAGGAACACCCCAATAAAACCACAGACACAACCAACTGTACACATATCCTTCATTGCATAATGTGTTTGTTTAGGACATAAAATATTCTTCATTATTTGTATTTTCTACATACCAATAACAAATACATTATTTACTCTGCRTTTCAAATTACTATAACTGAATGTCATGAATGAAAAAAAACATTTAATATTCAGTTTTTCAAATAAAGTTTTAAACTTTGCTGTTTCTCCTGCCTGTTTAGTTCATTAAAATCAGTCTCAGGCAAGTTAGGCTGTTAGTTTGTCCAGTAAGATTAAATAAAGAAAAACTACTTTTGGAGGAAGTTGTTCCACATAAAATGTCACAGGTTTCAAGCAACCTTGGGAAAAGAGTTTTTTGCAGATGAAAGGTGTGAAATAGTGCCATGTCTCACGAAAGGTGTGAACACACTAGATATTTCACACAAAAAATTACCAGAAATCATCTTACTGTGAAAAAGACGGGTTTGTTCAGATAAAGGCAAGTTTATGTCAGGCAAATGTGTCAAATTTTTAGAAAAACTGTAAGTTATATTAGCAAACGGGTATTTTTAAGCAGCTGGTGACTCAAGAACTTCTTGATGAGGATCCTCCAGAGGCTTTCAGTTGTGCAAAGAGCTCCAGTAACCTTCTCCCACAAGGACAAATGTTCATTGTGTTCAGAAATACATTTAGGAGTGAGTTGATGGGTCCTTTCAGGGTACCTGAAGGTGTCAAAATAAACTGAAAATATTTAGAGTTCCCAAGTGACCATTTTGTGACAAAAGGTATCAAATGAAGACTTGTGCCTTCCACAGTAAAACTATTTTTTTTATGAAAGGAAACACACCACCATCAAAGCCCTGGCTGCTATAAAAAAGAAAATCATGACATTATTGCTGGGCCCATGGTCCCCTGGCCTCAACCACACTGAGAAATGGTGGAACGTCTTTAAAAAAATATGTCTTTAAAAAAAAGATCTATGAAGGTACAGCCAACAAAACAGCCCCAATCTCGAAGGAAATATAAGAATAAACTACACACAGACTTACGAGTTCAAATGTAACTACATCTATAATGGTGGTTTTGATTTAAATAAGGGAATAGAGAAATTTTGCCCAAATGCAAAAAATTTTACAGGTTTACATTTTAAAGTCTTTGTCATCATTTTATTTAAAAAAACATGTAAAATGTTACTGATGGTTGAAGAATAAGAAATTACTTTTCACTGAAACTGAAAGAAACAAAGACGAAAAGCAGCAAACATAGTTTTGAATGCAGAGTAGAATAATGCACTGAGACATAAGAAAACTGTTCTGAACCGCATAATCTTCCCTAAATTCATTAATAAAATATATATTATAAAAGCTAACTTATTAATCCAGCCTTTGTTTGTTTTATGCTTTTGTTTCTTTGAGGAAGCAAGTAAAAGCAGTTAACCGCAGCCATGMGATGGAAGATGAAATCACATTTCACAAACTGAGAAAGTCCAACATTTTTATGCTTGTTCAAAGGAAGTTTTTTTTTCCATGTTGCTTCAGCTTTATGTCTACACTGATATTTCACCAAATGTACTGTACTTCAGTGCGATTAGTATTACACATTAAGAGCAATTTTGACAAGATGGCTTTTTTGGTCAAGGTCTACCTTTGTAAAAAAGCAGCAACCCTATCTGACCACAGTTTGTAAAGCAATAAATAAAAGAACTTACCAAAAACAGAGTGAAGATGAAACTCAGTAAGATGCGGTTTGAAGTAGACTTGAAGAATATATGCCTCATGATTTATTCCCAATTATTTCCTCACGCATACTAAGAACATGTAGAAAGACTTTGCTGTCCGAAGAYAAACAGCAGGTTTCTGTTCTGAGAACTGTCACTGACAGATATTTCCTGAACTAGGGACGATCAAGTCTCTATTACTTTATTCCAGAGGTGTTGACTTTTAATTTTTAACCAGGTCCTCCTTTCGTAACCTCTGGTCTCTTCTGTTATTCCCAAGTGATTAAAAAAACAGCAGCTTCTCCTTTTTAGACTTGAACAAGCAGAGAGAGACCTTTGCCCCGCCTGTTACTTCCTTATTAACGGTTGTAGTGTGTCACTTGTCAAGGGTACATCGATCAAGTGAATTTTCCTGTTTTAAACATTTATTGGGCTTGAGTGCTCTATATCAGCTGCAACTGGCAGGACCAAGCTCGTGACAAAAGCAGGTAAATAAAAGTGGACAAGTTTGTCATCCCCTTCATGAAAGACACAATTTTRACATAAAGCTTTTTAAAGTAGGATTTTTCAGATTAATCTTCTAGTGGTGATTACAATCAATGACTGATTTTACGAAAGATAAAAGCTGTTGCAGTTTTGTTTTTCACTGCTTCAGCAAAATGTGATATTTATGGCTCGCTTGTGGTTAAAACCTATAAGGAACTGTGAAAAAAAAGAAGAAGACTGATGGAACACAAGCCCGTTGAGTTTATTATTTTATCAGTAAGGTCCAATAAAAGTTAGATGTCAAAGAGCATGTTTTTACTCTTGTTCATTTACAGGAAAGGAAGTTTGTAAATGATAGTTGTCCGCGTCTTTTAAGACTGTATGATGACACTCTTTTACAGAACCACAATGATCTTTCATGTTTATTTTTGAGCATATAGTGTCTTTTTTTTATAAAAACCTAGTTATTCAATATTCAAACTAAATTACAGTATTTTATTATGTGAGCTTGGATAGTGCCTACATAATAGTTAGCTTGTTGAAGCATTTCAATAACTCTAAAGCTAATAAAAACTAAAATTCATCATTGACATAAGACTCTTTCAGTTCAGGTAACATGACAAAATGGTGTGATGACAACTTTCAAAACTGTTAAAACTTTTGAAAAACTAAAAAAACCTAAGTTTTGTAGAATGAGGTTAGATGAAAGAATGATATGACATCTATCTACTCTATCTATCTATCTATCTATCTATCTATCTATCTATCTATCTATCTATCTATCTATCTATCCATCCATCCATCCATCCATCCATCCATCCATCCATCCGTCCATCCATCCATCAATCCATCCATCCATCCATCCATCCATCCATCCATCCGTCCATCCATCCATCCATCTACATATCTATCTACCCATCTATCTTAGAAGCAAAACTAGCTAATTCTAAGTTTAAGACAGAGATTTCTGACACACTCCACATAATCCGTAAGAATCCTGTGATGTGGTTTCCAAAACAACTATTTCAGCTGCAAAGATACAAAGATTAGAAACGTTCCTGTGACTCAAACGTTGAGAGGGTGAGGAGTAGTTTGTCTCAAAGGAAAATGTGGATGACGAGGAGGAACTAAAGTGTCAAAAAAAACATTTTTGTGAGGAGAAACTGCTTTAAATCTTACTCAACTGGAATGCATGAGTAAAAATGGAAGCTGGATGGAATAGCTTTACAGTACCAGACAATACAGAAAATACCCATTATGTAGGTAGGTAATAAAACTGTCAATATTAGCATACAGTTGCAAATTTGTGTGTAACATTCATGTTCAGATACACTAAGGGATGCATACGTCTCACCTTCAGCATTATATTTAACTGAGAGTTAAAAAGAACAGAGCAGATGTATTATAGGAATCAGTTTGGACAGGTTCAGAAGTGAGGTGCAGCTCTCAGTAAAAAGACAGGCCTTAAATACACCAGTTGGGTTTGAACACAGTGTACAAAGCTGAAAAACAGCAGAGGGCAGTAATGGTCCAGTGTAGCAGTAGGCTTGCTCTGAATTATAAAATTTGTTTWGCTGCAAAATTTATGTTCTGTTAAAATATACTGTAAATTATACTTTAAGAAAATGTTTTCTGCCCAGGCATTGTTCTTCTAGCTGAGTTACTTTTGATTACCTGGCTGTTGTTTCTATTGTGTGCACTGCTCTTCAGACCATCACACATTGTTTTCATATAAAAATTTAATTTGATCAGAAACACTGTGAATCCATTAATGCACTGATTTTGGTTTGYCTCTTGTTGATGTGTTGGGGTTTTGTGCAATAGCTGAATATCATTACCAGTATGAATGTCCTTATGATTATTGTGATCTCTGCCACTGTTATTATTATTATTATTATTATTTACATATTTGTATTATGATATTGTTAATTATTGTTTTTTTTTATTTTTAGAAACCTTTATTTGAATCATCAAAGAAACAAATGTGAAACGTTTAAAGCATCAGATGTCTTTACCTAGCTTGTTGATAAAGGAAACAAATATTTACACAGGGCATGAATTTGGGTCTGGGGTTTTTTGGTACTCTACATTTCCTCTTCTGATTTCCTGTTTAGGTTTCAGATCATTGTTGAAAACTCCCCCATCTACTCTTTCTCAGAGGGTCAATTATGTGTTTGCTTTCCTCGGCTCACAGTTTGATTTTCGTTTTGTTTAAAGAAATATTCAGTCTTGTGTCCAATTTATTAGCCGGGCAAACTGATTGTTTAGAAACACTGCTCCACTACATAATAGTTTAGGTTAGATGATATAGCAGTTACTGGGCTAAACTGTTAACTTTATTTACTTTTTAAAACAGGTTAAATCATGATATTACTTCCCCACCACCCCTCACTTCTCTGCAATTAAGGTTACAGTTGGTTTCTCAAATTAAAAAGAGGAAATAAAGCCGTTACTAAAAAAAATCTAAATGGTAACAAGCATAAAGAAACATTTTAAAAGCCCAAAATATACTGTCAATGCAAAATAAAGTTTTTTTTTTTTCTGGGAAGAAATAATACAGCCAGGGAATACCCTAATCTTTTATATTGTACATGTTTCATGAGGAGGGAGTTCTAAGTCTGACCATAAAAAAACTAAAACAACATGAAGAAAATAATCTAAGAAGAGGGGAAAATGGCAATACTAGTGGATGAAACAACCAGTTTTTCAGAAAGAAATGGGAGGAGAATCTAAACTTTCCTTTTGTGAGGGTTAGTAGTGGGCTATCTAAAACCTCAAAGGTTATGTAATTACAGAGGCACTAATTAGTCCAAATTAGTCTTTTTAGTGTGTTTAAAAATACGAGCAACTCTTCATTTTTCACACCGTATTCAACTACAAACGCAATAATAAAATGAAATAAACACACGGAATATCTATCTATACAGTGTAAGATTATACAAAAATATACATACCTACTGATATTGTCATACTAGTGAAAAACCCTGAGGGCAGTACAATAGGAAAGATACATAACTTGTCTATGTGTGTATACTAATGTTTTGACACTTTTTTGGGTGGAAGCAGCTTCTTAACCATTTTATGGCAGACAACTTAACCTAAGAGTTGAACATTTACAGGTATATTTACAGGTATGTTAAAAAGGGCTGTATTTGACTTCTAATCGATTCTAATCATGATTTTCTGTAGAAACACCCTGCAGAACGATCAGTTTACAGATTTAAGAGAAAGAGCGAAACTGAACAGTAGGGGGCAGTAATGATCCAGTGTAGCGCCTAGTTAACCTTAATCAGCTTTTACAAAGAGAAGAAACTGTGATGTAAACAGGTTGTCAGCAGCACGGAAGTACGTATTTTGTTTTGTTTATTTTATGTTTTAAGAGGAGTGGCGTTATTTTAAGTTAGCATTTCAGGCTAAGTGAACATACAAGGGWATTAATGTGGTACAGTTTGTAAACTGTAACTTAGCTTAGGCACAATAGTATCTTCTTGGCTAATGTGCTAACGTTTGTTAGCATAAAATACAGCTTCAAAAAGCTTTTTTTTTAGTTGATGTAGTGAAGCTACCAGTTAGCATGAAGCTATTAGATAGTGGTAAAGTTCTCAAAGCTTTCAGTGTTTTAACTAGCAGTGCTCTAATATAGCCTAACCCCAAATCACCAGACTCCTCTTATCCAGAAACTGTTATCACGTCTTTACACATGACGAAGGCTGGGCTGGGGCTACTGAGCTCTTAAATATCTGGTGTTAAAGCTGCCCAGGGCTTTATCTCTAGCGGACTTCAGACGGAGACAGAACTAAATCGCTTTTTTTAATCAAACAGCTTCACGGAGAAAAGGTAGGAAATGCTGCTGACTTGTTAGGAGTCTTGAGGGGTCTGTCTAAACCTCGTGGAGTTTCTATAATAGGATATTCACTGTTTTGTGTGCAGAGATGCAGTCTGTGGTGAAACAAAACTATCATGCAGAGACTGAAGGAGACATCAACAAACTCATCAATCTGAAGCTCAATGCTTCCTACACCTACCTTGCCTTGGTAAGTTTTAAATAAAGAAATTATCATTTGCAGCTTTCTATGTGTTATAGTGCCCTCAATTCATCTTTTTGTTTCTCTACTGTCACATTTCTTTCCCTTCTTGTTTCTAGGGCATGTATTTTGACAGGGATGATGTTTCTTTGCCACATTTCTCCAGCTTTTTCTTGGACCGCTCTAAGAAGGAGCAGGAACAGGCTGAGAAGCTGCTGGAATATCAGAACAGGAGAGGAGGCCGTGTTTTGCTTCAGAATATTGCTGTATGTGTCAAATGCCGCTACAGTAATGTAAACACTGGTATTGTAAATCTAAATGTGAACTGTTGTTATTATTTTTATTTATTTATTTAGAAACCAAGTAGAGAGGACTGGAAAGGTGGTCTGGATGCAATGACTTTTTCCCTGGAATACCAGAAGTCCTTGAACACATGCATCCTTGATGTGCACCGCAGAGCTGACAACCACAAGGACCCACATGTAAGTCTTGATTTTTCGGATGTTGTTACAACTTGAGCTTGTGTGTTTTTGTGACGATCGCGTGGCTTAATGTTTTTAATCTGCTCGCAATTTCTCCCTTTCTAGCTGTGCGACTTCCTTGAGGGAGACTTTCTTGTCGACAGCCACGACACCATCAAGAAGCTGGGCGACTACATCGGCAGTCTGTCCCGCCTTTCCGAGTCTGGAACAAATGCGTCCATGGGAGATTACCTGTTTGACAGACACACTCTGTAAACCCTCAGAGATGCAGAGCAAATGGATGACTTTGTGTTTAAGTTTTTTTATACAAATTTGCAGTTTAACCCAAAACTCCATTTTTATATGCAAAGGCGAACTATAAAATACCTCAAAATTTTGTATTTTAAAAAGTAACTTGGAGCAATGTTCTCATTAAGATTTCCTAAGCTGTTACAGTGCAATGAAATACTTTTTTGCAAACTGTGTATCATGCCATTGCATTCCAGTGTCATAAATTTCCGTTAAGAGAATTACCTGAAAAGTTTGGAAATAAATCTTTTTAAAGCCACACATAGTTTGTCTTGCCGTTTCAACAGGTTGTCATGTCTGCACSCATGATTTAATTTGCCTACATTTGTATTTTTCCTTTTGGTACTGTACAATGAAATGGTAAGCCAACAGATGATGGAGTGACCACTCAAAGTTGTTGGTAGATGACAGTACAGCTATGTTGAAGGGATTAGTGACTAGGGCACCACACAATCTCAATCTGAACACAACTACCTCCGCTATGAACGCCACAGTTTTCCCCTAACAAGGGAGTGCCTTGATTTTTTTTTTTTTTGATTTTATAACATGCAACACTGAAACAAAAAGGGCTGCCTTGAGTCTTAATTTCTCTTCATTAAAGACAAGAAGCAACAGATGTGTTGTCAGCCCTCTAATATCAGGAGGGGTAGGGGAAGGGGGGATTAAACGATAACACTGCTCTAGTGATTTGCCAGCGCTTTGATGGACAGGGTTTCAGGAAGGCTGCCAGTCAGAGACAGCAGCAAACCGAAGGGCTGAAAGGTGTGTGAGAGCTCCAACGAGCCAAGAAACACATCCAGCACTAAAAAAGCCCTCCACAAGCTCCACAAGGGAATTAAGAAAATAACATCAACAGGTAGGGTGAATGCTCAGTACAATTTCTAAACAATTTGTAAGAATGAATTTAGAAATTACTTTGTAATAAATGTCTGCACAAACCTATGTAAAAGAATGATATTACGCTAGTTTATTTAACAATTGATGTTTTATCATTAAACTGAAAAAGCCCTCTAATCATTTAATGTCAGAAATGTATTGCAATCATTTTTAAAAATATTTTAGCATCTTTTATCACTTTTATTTTTACCAAAAGGGGAAAAAAAAAGAATATTACTGATAAATATTATTGTATTTTGCATTTGATATTTATTTTTTTCATCACTTTTAATTTAGCTATTACAATTTTGTAATATTTAATGACAAAATAAATTTTGAAAATTAAAAAAAAAACATTTTCTATACTGTATAATGTTAATACAGTGAAATTATTTGTTTTTTTTTATGTTATCATAAAGGCAATCAGAAGGAGCTACTGATTCATGAAAACATCAAATAAATTTATTATGGTTTAATAAATTATTTGAAACACTTTAGAGTTTAATAAAAATCAACTGGACGTCTTTTCTGTGCGCAAAAAAGGCAGCTGCAGAATAATAAAATGAAGAAATGAACTTGTTTTTTTAAAAAGCTGTGGTTCTGGATTAATATTGCAGTGCCAGAGTTTAATCCAGTCTGAAGCAGGGACCATGATGGGAGAAAAAAAATGGGGCTGAGGTAAACGTGGGAGAGAAAGCATGGGTTAAGGAATGGAGGAGATGACAGAGAGTATGAGCATAACAGAAGGATTAAGGTCAGCCATGTTGAGCATCTGGCTTAGAGATGTCCTACGCTCCTGCACTGTACAGCAACACATGATCAGAGGGATTACACAGCATGCATGTAAAAATGTGTTGTCACTCCCTGAATGAGCCAACTAGACAGAGAGCATTAACAGACGGACACAAGATGACTGGTTCTGCTGTTTTGACAGCTGAAATGAGGCTGGTCGGCGCTGGGGTCCGACTTCGAAGGGCCKCTGAACCGTCCGAACCAGAATCGGAGGAAACAACGGAGTCGGCACACCATGAGCACACTCACCATGAACACGGTCACTCAGAGCACCACCACGAGCACTCGCATACAGAACACCACCCGGGCCATGACTACAACCACATGAAGGAGAAGTTCATGAATGAACTGGGTCATCTGCCAAGTAAGATATATAATACTCCAGTAAATTACATTATGTGTTTATTGATATAAACGGTTTACATTATAACAAATAAATATTTACCCCATTATAAATTGAATTGTGGTTCAGCATAAAGCTTAAAAGTAGAGATAGAATCAGTCCAATGAGAGTTGAAGACAAGGCCCATGTTCAGACCTCATCTCTTTTCTTTAGCCTAGGTTTTAAAATGTAAGGACTGGTAAATTATTATAATTATTTAACAATCAAAGTGTCTTTAGGTTTGCTGTTGGAAATTTAGAACAGATACTTAGTAAATGGCCTCAGGTTTTTTTTGGGTGTTTTAGCCACTAGTCATGCAGAGTTGGCCCAACYGAGGCTGATCAGGCCTTCTTGTGATCTTTTTAACCAGTTATGTTTGTTGAAGGTTTCAGCCTAAACTAAAGAATTTGGTTTGGACTTTATATAGATTGGCAGGTTGTGATAATAGTGGTATTTAAGGAGCTTAGTGTTTTCTAAGGTGGAACTTGTTCCGAAACACTGATATAAATAATAATTATACAGACATGCAGAAGAATTGCTTCATACAGAAATGAGATTGAAAATGGTGAATAACAACCAGTTTTGCAGTAATGAAAAGCTTATAATAACAAAGGTGAAGCACTTAATGATGAACCTCTGGTGATGAGACACCGTGKTTATACTGGGCCACTCCCTGCTAGAAGAGTGTTATTATCTGATTGTGGACATGGGTGTTGACTGACCAAACATGCTCAGCAAACTGTACAAGATAAGTGACTGTTTTTAAAAATGTTGAACTTGAAAGGGAAATTTAATTGTATTATTTTACCACAGCAATAAAATGCTCTCCTTTCTGACGTATTCGGATTATACTGCACATTAGATACTACTATTATGTCTCCTTTGCAGTTCCCATGTGGGCAGTGGGAGCCATTGTAGTGTTGGTCCTGGTTTTAGTGGCGTGCTTCATCTTCTGTGTTTTCAAGAAATGTTTTGGGAAAAAGAAGAAGCCAAAGAAAGTGAGGGAAAGGAAGGCGGGCCGACGCAGAAAAGAAAAAGAAGGTGAAGGAGAGGTCGGCGAGAAGGTGAGCTGTTACATATGATCTTACCTGATCAGGAACTTTATGGTGAGTTTTCAGTGTGGGATACTTGTTCTTGTAGGAGGGGGAGGTGAAAAAGGAAGGTCAGCAGGAGGAGAAAGAACAGGAGAAGTTGGGTAGACTGGAGTTCTCTTTGGACTACAACTTCACTGATTCCCAGGTCAGCCCTGCGTAAAAACAACACTTTTATCAAAAGGCATCCAGATTATTGATTGGAATATACAATAGATGCTTTTAAGTGTATAAAACAAACTCCTCCTTACATGTTGCCTTCTCTTTCTTCTGAAGCTCATCGTGGGCATCCTTCAGGCTCAGGACCTTGCTGCTATGGACATGGGGGGAACATCAGATCCCTACGTCAAAGTTTTTCTGCTGCCAGACAAAAAAAAGAAATATGAGACCAAGGTTCAACGCAAAAACCTGTGCCCCGTTTTCAACGAGACTTTTATCTTCAAGGTGCCTCATGTCTGACAACATTTTGTCCCTTGTCTATTTTTGTCTATTTTGTCACAGTATTGGTGTTGTTTACTGTACTTATTGTTCTCTATGAGTCTATCGATAATGTACTATAATTTCCCTTGTGCTTTTTACATCTAAACACAACAATAACCTCTCTTTTCAGATTCCATATGCAGAGTTGGGTGGGAAGACTTTGGTGCTGCAGGTTTTTGACTTTGATCGTTTCTCCAAGCATGACATGATTGGCGACATAAAGATTCCCATGAACAGTGTGGATCTGGGCCAGCCAATACAACAATGGCGGGACTTGGAAAGCAGTGAGAAGGAGGAGGTAGGGTTTACTCTTTCTCCTAGAAAATTATTGTAAATTTCAAGTGAATGTCTGTTTTGCAAAAAAAAAAAAAGTTCACAAAAAATTTCCTTGCATAGGAAAAATTGGGAGATGTTTGCATTTCCCTGCGTTATGTTCCCACTGCTGGAAAACTGACAGTTAACATAATGGAGGCAAAAAATCTTAAGAAAATGGATGTTGGTGGATTATCAGGTAATTAATTAATCAATATTTGTCTCACACTTAGCTAATAATAATACAAAACACACACTTAAACCCCGAAGAGATTTGGAAAAGTCACAATATATCTAACTTACCCAATTTTTATCTTTCAGACCCATATGTGAAAATTGTTCTGCAACAAAATGGGAAGCGGATTAAGAAGAAGAAGACAACAGTCAAGAAAAACACACTTAATCCTTACTTTAATGAGAGCTTCAGTTTTGAAGTCCCCTTTGAACAAATACAGGTAGGCTTTATGTACCAAAAAACAACAATTTTTTTAATGTATTAAGCATTGTGACTTGATAATTTCATGTTTTTGTTTTCCAGAAAGTGCAAGTTGTCATCACAGTGTACGACTATGACAAACTTGGAAGCAATGACCCAATAGGAAAGACCTTTATGGGTTACGGAGCTACAGGTGTGGGCCTGCGACACTGGTCAGATATGCTTGCAAACCCCAGGCGTCCAGTAGCTCAGTGGCACACTCTCATGCCAGAAGAAGAGGTTGATGCGGCACTCAAAGCAAAACCTCGCTAGGATTCGCACCACAAAGACAAATAAAATGCTGCTGAGGAATTATTTGGTGTTAAACTGAATATTTTATTGTATGTTTTTAATTTATATGTAAAAAAACACAAAAGTAAAACTACCTTTATTTGTTA